CGCATCAGACTCAGCCTGCACATTTTTTAAGGACCACCTGGGAAAACAAAGATCACAATTGTGTCCGATATAGGGTGTTCAATAAGTTCTCGGCCTTCCTCATAACATGTTACAGAAGAAATATTTATTTATTAAGATTTGTTCGTATGTATATCGTGAAAAAAGCGTTTTTTCCTCAATGCATGGTAATGATATACTAGTACTGCTAGTAAGACACCAAATATATCTACTACATTTGATGTATTTAGTCTTTACATGTACGTCTTTCTTTTGTTCCTACTTTAACGTTATTTCTCATTCATCATATTTCATGATGCAGAATGTTGTCAAACGTCTAATTTTATCGAGACACTCGAGTCAGGAAACCCGCTAAGTAAAACAGCTGGGTTTATAAATGTATATGAATCTGCGTGCTCGTTACAGTGAACGGCAGAAATCTGTACCTTATAAACGTATTCTATGATGGGACATATGCTTCAAATGGAGGTTGGTAAGTGGTGAGCAAAATTCGGTAAGTAAAATTACCTGACAACATTTCCTCGGCGTAGGAAACACATTAATAAATAAATATCGTCATAATCCCAAATAAAAAGTATTTTCATTAGAGAATCCTGTGTGATGACGTTATCTGTAATAGATTGCCAACACTGGTAGCGACATGAAAACGTTCTGTGCCGTAACGCACCAAGAGTCTGAAGAGTGGTGAAATGGAACCAGAAGACTCAACTTAACCTGGTTTCCGCCTCTAGAGGTCGCAATCGCCGACCAATACTTGCCAATCACGATCAAGCAAGCTGAGAGTGCGCAGATTATATATATTAGCCATTTTAGAAATCTCTGGAACTACGCACGTTTCACTTGTTCGGTGTCCGTGTATTACGTTTAAAAGAAGATCAACACAAGTTATTGACAATGCCTCGTGGTGGTCGGAGCAGAGGGAGGTCGTTCTCGCCAGTGAGGTATGTGCACTCAACGTCGTGTAAAAAAATCAGCAGCAGCGTACGAAGTCAGTGATCTGACCTTTATCGTCTGATTTAAAATGCATTCTGTACGAGTTACTAGTACTTCGCCCTCAATTTGACTGTGATGCAACACCTGACCACAGTTACACTATGATTGATCCATAATTTATCCTTTGATTCTATGGGTTAGTTTGATAGCGTCCGCTCCCTCACTCAACCGTGGGTGATCTGTGCAAAAACATCCGTTTACAGTTTGAGAAAAGACTTTTCATAGCTGGTTCTGAAAATCTAGTATTAGACACAGTACCTAAAAATAAGTTACTATGATAAAGGGAAATATTTTCTAATGTACCCCACTTCTAATCCTAACTCTAATCCGATCCTACCCTCTATTGCCCCTCAAATTAATTGTTTATGCCCCTGTTGAGGACACATCTAGAGGGGCATATGCAACTGAACTGGGGGAGCTGGAGGGTTAGGATACATTGTAAAGTCTTTCTTTATAAAATCATGTAGAAATTGTGATATTTTGGTGTGTAGTTTATCAGCCTCCACAACAGGTCAAGGACAGGTCAAGTTGAGGGAACCATAGATAACAAATAAAGGAAACTGCTCCATGGTCAGTTTAATTTGTTTTGCCATTTTCTGCCCAAAATATATAGCCTATATAATTAGTGTATATACAGTGCATTTTGATAAGACTATGATTGTATGCTTGTAGCACCCTATCCTCGGGGCAGAGCTACGTCACAAGACGTTCCATGTTGCCAAGACGCATACCACTGTACCATGTATTTCTATGGGCTCTGTGCGCGCTGCTGTAGAAGGGCCGGTGAAAATAGCTAAATTTGAGAAAACCAAACGACCAAATTTATATACAATACACACGCAGGGGTAATCTTGTTACACTGTTCAGGGGAGTCTCAACAACCATCCCAAAGCACCGTTTTCTAAGAGTTTTTGACCTTTGTTTGGTTTACAGGCAGTGAAAATGCCCAGATGTCCACCCCCGAAAATAGTATCATGTTCTGGACAAAATTATGCACTGTGTGATCATGTACTAGAATGGATGGATAGCCATTTTATCAACATTTTAACATTGTTTATTTCAACATATAACTATAAGCCTTTGTCAATTTCTTTCAGGTCGGCACCTCCTAGGACTACTACTACTGCACGGGCTCCAGCTCCAGCTCCTGCCCCTGCACGTACATCAGCACCTGTAGCCCAAGCACCCCAGCAAACTGCTGTTGGACAGCCAAGGCAAGGACCAGGTATGTTAGGTCAGATTGCAAGCACAGCAGCTGGGGTTGCTATTGGATCGGCAGTGGGACATACAATAGGACATGCCATGACAGGCGGTGGTGGTGGTGGCAGTGGAGGAAATCAGCCTGATGTGACCTACCAAGAACCAAGTGCAGCCCAGCCATATGGAGCCCAGCCATACCAGCAGCAGCAACAACAGCCAGCTCAGTATTGTCAGTTTGAGTTAAAGCAGTTTCTGGAGTGTGCTCAAAGTACTCATGATATCTCACTGTGTGATGGGTTTAACCAAGCACTCAAAGATTGCAAAGTACAGTACGGTGAGTAGTGGACTAAAGAGTAAACAAGTATTTGTGTAGAGTTGTATAAACAAATGAAATATAATGTAATGTATATAATGTGTAGTATAATGTATACATCTTTTGGTCAGTGCACACATGTGCATATTGCAGAATTTGTTTTAGTTTTGATAAAATTAAACTGAAATTTCACTTGTGCATTGATCTTGGTAAACAGAATGTCCATAAATATATTGGTCTAAAGGTTGCACATCCTGGTATTTTCTTGGGGGACACTCTCCACACAAAGAGGGTGTTTGCTCCCAGAATGCTTCATGCACACATGGATTTGCATAATATTCTAAAAATGGCATCCGTCCTAATTGTAAGTTTTCTTTTGCACTCACTCAAACCTAAATGTTTGCATACCTAAAACCGATGCATGGCCATTATGCAAATGCAGAGGTGTGTGTGTGCGCGTGGAGCATGGAGCAAATGCCCTCTGTGTGGAGAGTGCTTGGGGACAAACTCGCTATCAGCAAGATACTGCAACTGAATAATTTAAATATGATATAGATATAGAATAGATATTTTCCTTAGTAAATAGTGTTTCGAGCAATGGCTATGGTAGCATACAAGAACATATTTAAACGTATAGGCAGAACACAAAAACTCATGATGAACACATACATTAGAAATTATAGATATAGTGCAGTTGTATGATGTAAGGCTGTGCAACTAGTTAAGAACAACGCAATGTAATTATTACAAACAGTAATTATTGTATTTTTACAATTCATTTTCAGGTGTACAATGATATCCAGTTTGTATTGTGTGAATGCCGGTATTACAATAAAGAAAGAAGTTTGCAGTAAACATAGTGCTACAGGATGAAGGGATAAATGGCTGTATAGTTTAACCTGTAATAGTTTTTGCCAAGAACAAATCCAGTTTGATATATTTTGTGCATGAGCATCTTATGTGCGAGTGTGAATATAGGAATACAAGTATTTAAATAAAATAAACTTGTTGATTTTAAGTTCTTAGTTTTATTTGTTGTACTTTTTTCAGTTCCATGATGCATCACACCAACATTTTAGTGAAAATGTACATTGTTTAGCAAAAAATAAATACAAACAATATATTCTATTGAAATGTAGAAGTACATGTATAATTATCAAGTGAATTGGTCTGCAAGCTTTCACGAGTCGTGGGTTCACCAGGCCATTCTCAAATATACTTGGAATGGCTTGATTCCAGGCTGATTGAAATGCAATGAAGGTGCCATGGGGTTCCGTTGTAGACAAATCTGAAGAATGGACAGTTTTGGGAAATTTCACCGAGAGCTCTACCAAAAACTTTTGTTTATGTAAACCTCTTGTGCTGTCGGAAAATATCGGCTTACTTTCACCATTATTGGCAGCTAAGTTGCTGACTAGTTCGTTATACGCGTCACAAGATTCCACGATTTAGAACTGGTTAGTTCAAACCACTTTTACGATGGTGCATTCCATAATATATAATCCAGAGCACAGTATGTTGTACACTTTTTGGGTGGATTAATAATTCTAAAACCACTCCTAAATTTACAAAATTTTACTCGCAATGCGGTTTACTTATAATTGTTGACAACGCACACAATCACCCTATGACCAACTATTGACAGTACTGGATTGAAATCATGCATGTAATTGACATTGCCATCAATCAAATAACTATTTTGCCATTACCCTTTCAATCAACTGCATTCATAAAAGGTTAAAGGTTATACCCGTTGTTGCATCTGACACGCATGCAAGTAGTTAAAAAATAGATAGTCTGAAAACAATATATATTACGATCAATTGGATAAGGAAATATTGGGTTTTGAACTTGTTGCTATGGTCATGTTTGCCAGAACTTAAAAAGAATATCATGACTGCTCCATTTGCTGTTCACCTCCTTCTGCTATATCTTCTTTGCATGGCAGCTTTGTAATAATTAGATCCAACAACTCCTCTGTTTGTTCTTCTGTAAGTCTTTCCTCACTTTCCTCAATCATCTGCATTTAAAAAATCATAACCGCAATCATTAAAATGACTTTATCAATCATTTATCTGTGATGTTTAAAACAGATATTTATTGTCAATAAAAACTTAGTAAAATCACTCACCAACTGGATTTCTACTGCACTTTTTGGTCTACTGTTTAATAACTGCATTTTTTCTGCTCTGATAAAAAGAAAGTCAATGTAAATAAAAAAAAAAAGCCCCAGTCAATAATTGAACAGAGACTGTGATGTTCAGATATTAAAAAACACCAATATACACCTGCATCTCAATATATAATGTCAATACCAATTTGACTTATTAATAAAAGTGCAATCCCTCAATTGTATTTGTTGTATACTGAATCACTAACACCATTTTCATTATAGAAAGACCTCTGTCATTTAAGTAAGCACATGTGCTACTAATTGAGCAAATACAGAATACTAAGTTTGAATGAATTTAGTACAGTTTTCTACAAAGCTGTTTGCAGATGAATTTGAACGTTGGGATTTAACAATTTTATTACTAAAAGTTTAGAGAATAAAATTAGGTGCATCTCGGTAGGTATTAACTGTCTGTATACCAACTATGAATATGATTGGTCATTGTATGTCAGAGTAACGGGCATAGACATGGTGAGAAAATAAAATGGCTACCAGTCCAACATTTTGAATCTGGTCTCAGGAATTACTATCGTTTCAGTCATTCTTTGAATGATATTGTTTATGTAAATGTTGCTGCACTGCAGTAAGTTATCAACATTGCTAGTAAATGCACAGCAAATGTTTTGAATGTTTAAGGAAGTTGTTTTGCTACAATAAAGGTTGTTTTGAGACATTCAAGACGCACCCAGATATTGTAACATGCCTCTACAACCCGATAAGTAGTGTCAGCATACCAAGAAATAAGAATGAACCCTATTATATGTCTAAAAGGACCAAGTCAACAATATTTTTTCAATTAAAAAAAAACATATACATCTTTTATATATATGTATACATCTTTTAGTACCAAGTTTGGAAAATGTATGTTTGAGAAATAGCTCTGGATGGATGCCACAAAACTTAGAACCCAGAACAAAAATGTTTTCTCAAATTGTTATACACTTCTGCAATTGGTTTCTAACTTTCCTTGTTTACAGACAAACTTGGTGTTGCCGTAATGAAACACTCTGCATAACAATGTGATCAAAGTTCTAGTTGACATCATTGTTTTTATTGCATGTGAAACAGCACCCTCTATCATCTATAATGAGAGAGTGTTAGTAGTACTGAGACAAGTACCAGTAGGGCTGGCATGTTACATATAGTGCTATGTTACACCTCCTGGGCAATGTACTCACTTGGTTAATTTATATGGCTCCAAACATTTCAAAAAATCTCCAATTACTTCTTCATTCTGTTCCACACATGGTGTCTTCTCCAAATATTTAATGGTCTGGAAAAAATGTGAAACAATTTATGGTATACAGTGTATTATAACTGGAAAGTCAACTCTTCAATAGTTCTATTTTATGTCTGTGTGTGATTGTGGACTCAAAAATATTATTAAATGTAAATCTCAAATATACACTACTTAATTAATAAAGCCCTCTATTATGGTAGTGGGGATGTGCAGTTCACTTTTTATCAGAACTTACTGTTGTGAAACATTGGCATTAAATCACTGACACTGAAATTCCAAAATATGATGACATCACACACAGTGATGACATCATTTCAACACAAATTAAGATTGCATCATTTACTGGTACACTAAAATACAATGATGACACCAAATGCTCTCCAAAATATGATGACATTACAGGCACCAAAACATAGTGATGACATCATTTCAACACAAATTATGATTGCATCACTTACTGGTACACTAAAACACAGTGATGACATCATTTCAACACAAATTATGATTGCATCACTTACTGGTACACCAAAACACAGTGATGACATCATTTCAACACAAATTATGATTGCATCACTTACTGGTACACCAAAACACAGTGATGACATCATTTCAACACAAATTATGATTGCATCACTTACTGGTACACCAAAACACAGTGATGACATCATTTCAACACAAATTATGATTGCATCACTTACTGGTACATCGCTTATCATCCAAGGGAAAATTTGAAAATGGTGCAGTGATGCGGTTTTTTATTTATTTTTTGTAATTATGATTATTCAATACTATAACAACAGAATATATGTTTAACATTTATTAAACAATATTTTTGAGGTTTTATTTTTAGGTTGGTTTGGATTTACAAAGCAAACATTTTTTCATTCCATCGTACATGGCACACTAACCACTACCGGTAGTAAGCAAAATAATCTAAGACACATTTTGTTTGATCTAACTGAAAACTGTTTGCATTGCTTACCTCGTATGATATTGTAGCTAAGTTTTGTTGACTCGCATTCGCCTTCCTTTTGCCTTTGATGTTAACGGCTAACTCATTCAACAGAGTGTAGACCTGTAATTATAAATGATTCACTCACTGGACACCACTACCCCCGGTACATTTGATTGGTTCAATAAAAATAATGTCAAATTATGTAAGCTATGTAAATCAACTAGAGAGCATTATGGGTATGTGGAATTCCCAGCAAGCAGAATTTAAACCCTATAATAACCATACAGGTTTAATTTCCTCCAAGACTGCATACAATATGACTAGCACAATAGTGTAGTGTATAGCCTTTTGAATGTCGCACAGATTCCCTGGACAGATTCTTATCTACTGAATTAGTGTTACATTGTAATAGCAATTTAGATATGCATT